CATTCATGCAGAGGAACAAGTACAACGTTCTGGAATGGCCATCTCAGTCCCCAGACCTGAATATCATTGAAAATCTGTGGTCTGTTTTAAAGCGGGCTGTCCGTGCTCAGAAACCATCAAACCTGGAGATGTTTTGTAAAGAAGAATGATCAAAAATACCTTCAACCAGAATCCAGACCCTCATTGGAAGCTATAGGAAGCGTTTAGAGGCTGTTATTTCTGCAAAAGGAGGATCTACTAAATATTGATGTAATTTTTCTGTTGGGGTGCCCAAATTTATGCACCTGCCTACTTTTGTTTAAGTAATTATGGCACACTTTCTGTAAATCCTATAAACTTCATTTCACTTCTTAAATATCACTGTTTGTTTGCTATATGATATATTTAATTGAAATTGCTGTTCCAAACAACCAATGATACATAAAGGAAAATCTTGAAAATGATCAGGGGTGCCCAAACTTTTTCATACCACTGTATATGTTGCTGTATTTTAATGTTTTAATTTTTTTTCTCTCTCCTGCAGGAGGAGAAGCAGACGAAGGGTCTGGCAGCAAAGCTGGAGCTAGCTAAGTTTCTGCAGGAGACCATTGCAGAGATGGCCATCAGGAACAAAGCTAAAGCTCAGTCCGAGAATGAAACACAGCGCTTCTCCACATATGTCCAAAAGGTAGGAGCCAGAGCTTTCACAATCTGGATGTAAACCTCTAATGGTATTTGTTTTAAACTTTTGGAGATGTGTAAACTGCACCTACTTTAGTGACACCTGTGGGGGTTTTTTTTTTATAGGTTCGTGGCACCGGTGAGCAGCCCAAAACAGAAGACATTGTCCAGTTCTCTAAGCTGTTTGAAGACGAACTCACGCTGGAGCACCTGGAGCGCCCCCAGCTGGTGGCTCTGTGCAAACTGCTGGAGCTGCAGCCCATCGGCACCAACAACTTGCTGCGGTTTCAGCTGATGATGCAGCTGAGGACCATAAAATCAGATGATGAGGTGAGGGACAAAGGATTGTGATTTGGTTGTGGTTACAGACAAAACATTTTTATTTTCAAGGTCAAACCTGTGGTTTCTGATAATGAATTTGGAAAAGTCATCTCATAACTTTTTACACAAAATTTATAATGCAGGTAAATAAATGTATGAATACATTTTTAATTTATAGGTTTTCTATAGAAAATCTAGCCCCTGATATTGAGTTGTCATTTATTCTCACTCTTATGCCAAATTCTAAATCTTCTCCTCATGTTTTTTCCACAGATGATTTCAGCAGAGGGTGTGGCAGCTATGAGTGTGTCAGAATTACAGGCAGCTTGTCACAACCGTGGGATGAGGTCACTGGGTCTGACCAGTGATCAGCTACGTGTGCAGCTGCAGCAGGTCAGTAACTGAGCACTTCTACTGACATGCATGGTTTTCCTACTCATTTTTCTATATTATTTAGCCTAACACTGCACATGTCAGGATTGGTCATCTCTTGGTAAAGCTTTTTTTTCTCCTCCATCAGTGGCTGGATCTGCACCTGAAGGAGAACGTCCCTCCCTCACTGCTGCTGCTCTCCAGAGCCATGTACTTGACTGAGCTCAAACCAAAACCACCAGTCATCCCACCTGTTCCCAAACTAGAGGTTAGTTTTTTTTTTATTTTAACTGTTAAATATTTTTCTTCACAGTAAGCGTCAAACTATTGAGGCAGTTAATAATACGCCACATGTCTGAAGAAGAGATCCAAATGCAGCTACTGGAGAAAAATGTGAAACCAAGCAGCTTTTTTATCTTTTGTCTGATGTAGTCAGTCTGTTTACCTGATGGTTTTATGTTGTTCGTGCAGAAAGCTGCCCCTTCTCCTCCCTCTCCTGCCCTCCCAGTGGAGAACACAGGAGCTAACCCCTCCTCCTCCGTCGGTACTGACATGTTGGTGGATCCCGCTCTCATCATCAAAGACCGATCGGTGAGTGAGTTCCTGAAATGCAAAGCAGTAACAGACTGTACTAATTCTGATCAATTATGTGCAGTCGATAAAAGATTCATGTTTGTACAGTAAAAGTAACATTTGTATTGAGGCAGAAATCTCAGTCACTGCTGTTGCATGTATTATAATAATGATGTGACATCATGTTTTAGGTGGAAGAGTTAAGAGACAGAGCTCCCGTGGTCTCAGACGAACAGCTGACACCCGCTGAAGTCCTTCAGGTGAGGAACTACTGTTGAAGATCACTGGGCTGTTACACCCACAGGACCCAGTGTAGAACCGATTCATGCAGAATCCAGTTAGTTTCTACCAGCACTGATCATCCACACATGATATGTTAAGTAGTACAATCAGTAGAAGTACTGGGAAAGAGATTGACATTCGACCCCAAGAAAAACACAGGCAGTAGAAAAAAAACAAACAGCAAGTTGTTATGTGAGGTTTTAATCTTCCTCTTGTGTTAGGGTTGGCACCGACCCATTTTAAATTTTAAATGCAGAATAAAATCACTTTGTTCAATTTGTTTGTATCAAGGCTTTTTACCTTTGTCAGGAATCTCTATTTCAACAAAATAAAACAAAAAATATATTTTCACTAAAGCATAAAATGCTCTGGTGGAAAATAAGACCTTTGTGTTGTTAGGGTCGGTTTCAACCCAGTTATAATAATACAATTATAGAGCAATAATTAGAGCCAAAACTGAAATCATTTCACTGTGCACTGTCAGCTGACACACTGACAGCCAGCTCCTCTCCTAATCATGTGAGCTTTAGGGGATTCTCATTTTGCGTGGTTTTCCAGTATACCTGCACAAAAACAAAACAAAGATGGGCATGTCCAGAGATGTGAAGTGAATTCACTAATTTGAGTGGCCATTTGACTTGCAGAGTGCACTTTTACAATTTACAGCATGCAAAAATGAGGTTCTGGCCAAATTCTGGATCATGTTTATGGTGAAAATGAGGGAGAGGACACAGAGCAGCATAGCGATTCAGATGAGCAGGTTTCTGAGGAGGAAGACAATGTGGAGTATCATC